GAGGTTTTGTCTCCTGTAAAATTGCATGGTTGGKATGTGTGTGTATTTGTATTTTAATATTCCTCTGTATATAAGTTTATATATATAAACATATATATATGTTTTTAGCAAACATCTTGTCTCATCCTTGCAAAGTCCGCAGTTGGCAAGTATATTCTGCAGTGTCTTCGAAAGTTTTTATAAAAGCCCTGATATTGGATTAGAGGTTCCATTTTCCTTCTTTTTTTGTTGTTCTTTTTCCACTCCCTTCCCTGTTCCCATGTGACTGCTGTAACCACTAGACTGTTGATAATATTTTTTAATAAAAGATGAACAATTTGTAAAGCTTACAAACTACCAGTGTGGAAAAGGCAAGTCGACCAAGTACTTTTATCTTACTAGAAGAGTTGAAAATACTCACATTTAAGAGCTAACAAGGTGTAAGGTTATGTTTTATGGGATTAATCGTCAAACTAATGGGCTAGTATGTCTACTTCACTGTATTTATGTACACTGCACAAACAACTGAGATATCTGTCACCTTCAAGATGYCCCTAAATGGAGGCAAAAGGAGAAAATCAAGTGAATAGAAATGCATAGAGAAAATGAAAATATTTGTATATATCATATATACACAGTTTCAGAATGCTCTCAATTTGTTAGATTAATATAATTGTCTCCCTTGGAAAAAAAAAGTCTAGCTTTATTTTTAGATGTTAAGAGCTTTATCAGATGAATTTAGGTAGCATTTTTTTTCCACTTACATCAAAAATCCCTTTAGTTCATCCCTGGATATCCTTTAACTACTATAGAGAGAAATCCATATGTAAATTCTGTAATTCCTGGTATTTTGAATAGAATAGCTRAGTATTTAAATTCTATGTTAAGTCAAGCCAAGCTTACTTGGTGTGTCTTTCTTTCCACAAGTGTGTATGTGCATATTTCTGTCATTATATTTAAAGCAGTTTTTGAGAAGATGGAAACTTGCGTAGGAGTTCACAACTGACTAACTGTTCTGAAAGGCCTAACCTATGGCTTTAAGAGAACAARAAAAGATCTGTCAGAAAACTTAATACTGGCTTTTGGGATGGAGTGATATATGAAGAAAACAAAGTTGTGAAGCGAGGCCGTCTTTGTGCAGGACTGTCACTGTTCTGCATAGCTCATACGGACTCTTTTCAGCTGTCACTTTGGGCACAAAAGCAAAGAAGCCAGAGCCCGGATTTACTCCCACCATCCCAGTCTGATTTTTATCTTTCTACAGCCAAATCTGATGCCTGTGAGGTTATCTAGTGTTTCCCCCAGCACAATGCCAAGGTCTCTAATCTGGGCTTTTCTGGATGCTTTGTAAGTTCACTGACAGTTTTAAAGTACGTCTTTGTTTTAGAGATCAGCTCTCGGCACTATTTTTTCCCTATGCTGGGGAACAAAGAATAGGCCCACAAAATTATTCAGCTGCCCTCAAACTCCGGAATATATTTGATAGTCCTTTAGGTTGTTTATTCTTATTATCCTTGTGAGTGCAGAGGGAATACAGATGCACCTTAAACGTGCAAACTTGATCTTTCTCCTGTCAGTAAAAAGCAACARCCTACCCATTTTGTTTTAAGGACCTGTTACAGACTTATTTAAAATAAACCCATACTCCTGTAGCTGACAATCACTGTTGAAACAAGAAATAGAGATCTGCARGCCAGTCCCAGCATTCTTGCTAAGTTGTCAGCATTTCTTGGGTGTAGCCTTCTACTGACCTAAAAGCACAAAACAAACAAAATTTCTTGACCTGGGGGAAGAGGGAAACAATCTTGGCCAGGCAGGAGAGGGTAGATTGATGTGCTTGTGATCCTGCTTGTCCAGGCTTCTTCCTAGAAGCAAGTGAAGCTTAATGAGTGAGGGTTTGTCTTGCTTTGGTTTTGGTTCAGAGGCTGAGCTCTTAGTCTTATACTTAAGTAGTTGTGCTGGCACCAGAACAGCAGTTTTTAAGAACTTGAACTTCTAAGAACTTAAGAATTTTACGAGTTCTAGCAACTCTTAAAACGTTATCTACATCTGCTTAGGTTTTGCTCATTCTCTATCCTCTTCATTTTATTACCACTTTCTAAAGTGATTGTGGCTTGCATTTTTATTTGGAAAATAACAGCACTGCCAAAAATATTCTAAACACAGTGAGGCATTCCCAAATGGTATTCCCCCAAATGCGCTCAAAAACATTATTCAGCCCGGAGAAAAGTTATTGGCAAATAAAATGTTGAGCAGCCCTGCAGGAATAGCATAGAAAATTTCATCTTTGAAATTGCCATTTAGGTAGGTTTATTTCATATTCATTTTATGAATTCTGACTAATTTTTGGTGTCTTTGCTGCTTTTAAGTAATTACCCTAAATTGGATGCCTACTGTCCTCTTACAGATGATTTGAAATTGTCAGGAGCTACCTTCTCTTCCTGCTGACTTTTTTCATTTGTTTTAGTGTGGATCCTGTCAATGGCGTCTGTCCTGAAACTTTAATTCTAGGCTGGTAACTCATATCCATCATTATTTTTTCAGCATTTACATTTTCATGCCTTCTTTTTTTGTTTAGTTTTATCAAAGTTGCTGCAAAATTCCTATTGCTATACACAGAAAATACAGGGAGGTTGAGAGCCCTCCTGTTTGATTTTGTGATGTGATACTCAACCTTRCTGTGGTTATACCAAGCCATGTTCATTTATTTACCTTGTCATATCTTTAATGAAGTCTGGGAAAATGCAAAGTAAAAATATATGTGAGTGAGGACTAAATGCTGAGCTATTTCTGGCAGAGACTAGAGAAGCAGCRAAGATGCTCACAGTGAGAGGTGACAGAAGATATCAGAAGGTGGCTGGGTCATCTACTGCATTTTCTGTAACTTGTGGTCCCAGCATGGTGTTTCGCAGGGCCGGAATTGACGTGGTTTAAAGCTGGCTTTGTTGTGCTGATCGTTACATGCTAGTGCTCCGTGGCCAGAATGAAGTGCTGTGAAGGARGAAGGGCCCAAAACTGAGCTTTGTTTCACAGAAGGAAAATAAAGGTGGGCACAAAGATGTGTTCACACTAAATATTAGAATATCAATGTATGAGGTAGCATGTTGAAAATATAAATAATAAAAGTTTCGCTCTGTTTATAACCTTTTCTTGAAAATGACTTAATTACATGTAAATCGCACATTTGTAGGAAGACATGTAGTTGAAATGATGAGCAGTGAGGGAACAATGTAAAGAGTAGGGATAGCTGACTTTTCGTTCAGAATTTGGCTATGGTTATGTAGTGAGTGTATATTTTAAAAAAAACCTCTAAAGATAACCTATTTATGTTGGTGCTTGTACCGCAGAGTGGCCCACCAGTGTGTTACACCCTGGCCACCCTGCGTGTTCGTAGCCAGTGCTGTGTATTCATCGTGGAGACGGGATCCTCGGAAATTATCACTAGCTCAGCASGTTCCATAAACAGCTCTGCTCAGCAGTCAATCTGAGTCAATCTGAGACTTAAGCAGACAAAAGCTTAACGGATATTGCTTCTCAAATTAGCACTGCTGTGTAATTAATTGCCCTTAATTAGCAAATCCTTTCTTTTAAGTATTCAGACTATGTGATGTAACTCGTTGCCGCAGGTCACTGGTGGTGTAACATGACAGTTGAGAAAGCTCTTTTTCTTTYAACATTTGAAGTCACTGAGTGTTTCAATAAAAAAGTTTTGATGAAAACAGTGTGGTTCATGCAATGGCCATCAAATTATATTTGGCCCACCCAGTCCTGCCAGGTGTCTTCCTGTCACTTGGAGGTGGGAGATGGGTGTTTGGCCATTGAGCCCCCTGGGATTCCAAGGCCCTTCTCCCTACTGTGCTCAGCCAGTTACCTGGAGTCTGGCACCGCATCCATTGGGGAGGCGCAGGGCCGGGCACGTAGCGCTGGGAASAAGATTTACTGCATCAGCAGGCTGGATTAAATGAGTATCACTTGACTGCTGCTTTGTAGTTCCCTCGAGTCTATGCTATTTCTTTACATTTTGCTCGTTGCTTTGAGTTTTGTCTATGTCTCATACAGAACTAAGAAAAAATCACACTGAGCTTACGTATAGCACATGAGGTTTTGTTTTGCCTCRCTTCCTTATCCCCATTGTTTTCTACTCCTTGGTCTGTGTTTTGAAAAGAAGCAGCATGTTTTCGATCTGAAATGAGGAGTTACAATAGATTTCAYGTCTGAAACACCTGCATGGGGGAAATGAAACAAAACTTTTAGCTCTCACTGTTGCATGGCAAGGTTTCTGTTGCCTTTCCTTCCTGTAAACAAAAGCAGTCACTTAGAGTGGGAAATAGGCTGTTTACAGGATATTTTCTGTATGAAAGGAAGGAAAAGTGCCTTTACAGAGATCAGCCTATTGTGCTGGGAATATTGGAAGTTATAGGAAGTTAAATTGAATTTATTTTTTGCAGTGGAAATAATCAGCAAAATCCATTTAATCACTTTAGTCTTGACCCTGAGAAATGCTTGGCAACTATATTAGTTGCTGAAATCAAAGCAGGGTGTTGCTTCAGTTTGGTCCCAAATCCTCCATTTAACTTGTGACCTAAGAGCTTGACTAGGTACAGACTACTGTTCAAAAAAAAGTCGAGTTTATGAAATATAAACCAATATTTTATTTAAAAACAAAACCACTTCTGATATTTGTACTGTTAACTATTATTTTGAGTTATCTACTTGCTTTTAAAAATTTGATTCTGCTGCTTCTGCTCCAAGCCAAGCCTTTTCTGGGAATTGCCAGCAACCTTCATAGATGACAGCTATAAATAACCTCTTGCCACACATGAAGTGATGCCTACTATACTGTGCTGAGTTTTATAGCTTTGTGTGTTTTGTGGTGTTGTATTGCCATGTATGTTAGAAGATTCTCAATTTAAATGAATGATCATTTAAGATTTTGGTTTTGATTTCAACTTCCATATTATAAGTATGCAAGTTCACCTAAAAAAAGTGTCTGAATCTTTCTCATTTGACTTGCAGGTGTCTCCATTTTACAGATACTAGGAAAAAAGTGAGTCAAGTTGTCATCCTTTGAAATCCTTCTAACCAAAGGTAAGAATATTTCTAAGCTCTGTCAAAATATATTTTTAGTGTTTATCTAGTATTGCCCCATCTTTTAAACAAACTGGCAGCTGGTGTTTACTGGCTTTAAGAATCTAGAAACTGTGAAAAGGGTCATTTCAATGGGTAAGTGTACAAGTGTGAAATTTAGTCTTTTGAAATCTGTTATTTGGGAAATAACCTTGCATTGAAATTTGAGAGTATGGTTCAATCACATGGAAGCAGCTTATGTTATGTAGTTGTTGTTATACAGGATGGTCCCATTTCCTAGCGAGCTGGGTAAAGAAAAATAAATTTGCAATTTTGGTGATTTATAAATCATAGCTTGGTCTTTCTCTGGAAGAGAGATGATATGACCAGAAATGGACGCTAGCTTGACAGCTAGTAAAGGCTGATTTTTGTAAAGGCTGATTACTCTGCAGAAGACTGTGAGAATGCAGTTGATAATGACACTTCRATATTTTCTTTAATAGGAATTAAGAGGCTCAGGTCTCCTATAGCTCTTTAAACTACTTGATCTAATTTGAATGAACAGCGCTATGATTCTGACATAGGGCTCAAGCTTAGATRTGCCACGCAGTGAGCAGAGAACATTAGTGTGGTCTTACGGTGACGCACTCCCTGCAGCACAGTGAACAAATCAGTAATTTGTTAGACCTGAATAGCTGAATACTTTTTGGGAGTTTCTGGAGAAACCATTTACTTTCAATATATGTAARCATAATATAATCTAGAGTGAAATATGCTGTATTTATGTATATGTGGAGAGAGAGTTATTCTGAATTTAAGTTAGTATATCCAATAATCCGGCCACAATCAGGTGTTGTAAGTATGCACTATGCCTACTCTCATTTGAAGAAATGAATATTGTCTTATTGATGCCACTAAATAGTGGGAAGTATGTTTTGTATAACTGTGTGAGACTGACCTAGCTCTGATCTGTATTTAGTTGCTTGTGGTCCAGATGATGGATTTACATGATCTTTTCCAAAACTAAAAGCGGAAAATAAAAGTGTAAGAGAATAGTAGYATATACAGAATTAATGAACACTAATAAAAACTTGCGCACACTGCTCTATTTTAGCGTTTTTTTGGTGATTATTGTAATTGAAATGTTACCTATGTTAAGCTTATCTGTATATATAGCATTATAAAGAGGTTATATCAAATAAACTCTAAATAAAATAAATTAGAGTTGATATTCTTATTGTAGTCATTCTAGTCCTTTTTTCTTTTTTTTTTTAAAAACAGCACTGTCCTTCACCAGTAAATAAAATATTCTGCTGCTGCATGTTCTGTTACCCAAGAGCAGTGGAAAAGATTATTACCGAAGCTAGTCAGACACTTGCATTTCCTGCCATTTCTTTTTTAATATAAGCCCTTTTTTCCTAATATATTCCTATTCTAATGTATTCCTATCCCATCTTTCGATCATGAAAAAAGAAACATTTCAATGGGGGGACCATACTAATTTCCATTGTGCTAGCGGTGCTGACAGCAGTTTCTCTGGCTAGGGCTGGCAGGTCTCAAGCAAGAGCTTTCTTCTGCCCAAGCCGGTTATTGTCATGCTGGTCCCATAATGAACCCGAGACACCTGACTGGCCAGGCAGCCAGACGTGGGAGTCGGAGCAGAGCAGGGACAGAATTTCTGACAGCAGCTGCTTGCAAAGTACTTGTCGATGCTGAAGACGCAGCACAGGCCTCTCCTTCCAGAATATCCCAGCTGTTCCCAATGAGGCTTGAAGATAACTTCTACTTTGCAGCCACAGCTTGTGCTTTTTTTTTCCCCCAGTATGGTAGCTTCATACCTGAATCATAATTTTCATTTCTGATGACGCATTGTTTCCATGATAAAAAAAATCTTCTGGAAGAAGAATTGATTTTTTTGGGTGGGAGGAGGCATGTAGAACGTATTATGCATTTAGAGACTTCCATGAGGATATCTGCTTTTGGATTCTGTACAGGTTTGTCAGTCTATTCAGAGAACCACAGATGTAAGAGAATCTGAAAACGGGACCTTCCCTGTCAGTGGCTTAACCTGGCTGGCTTAGGCCTTGATGCAAGAAGCAAAAATGAACTTTCAGTCCAGCCACCTGAGCCCCTCTGCCCTTAGTGCTCCACAGTTCCCCTAGGCGGGTGCTTAATAATACTTGTCTCAGCTTCCCTGTTTTTAAATGACTTTCTCTGCTCACATCCGTTTCTTTCCTGTTTTCATCGAGGGCTGCATTCTCAGTAAGTGGTCAGTTCTGCCCCTTAATCTCATCTCATATGCCARCTCATGTATTACCGGGCATGATAAAGGCCTGCTATAATAACGGCAGTGTAAACTRTATCTTTGAAAGACTTAACTACTACTTTTCATATATGCAGAGTGTTTTTATGTACATATATACATACCGATCTGATGCTTTGGCTGAATGGAGCTATGCTTTTGCTTGGGAAATAGTCAGATTGAGAGGACAATATTGTAGCCTATTTTGTATTACAGGTTGTCAAAAGTATCTGCATTTGAATAGTGCTAATTATGTAGGAAAAGAGAACTTAAGCTAATAAAGCTGCACTAGTATTGTGTGATGGCTTCTGCTAGCTTWGTGCTTGCTTTGCCTTTTGGCTGTATAATTAGAGAAGACACAGAAGCTACTTAAAGAAAATCAGAAGAAGCTGAAAAAACAATTCAAGCCTTCTTCTGTTTTGTTCTCTTTTGTGGGTTAGACTAACAGCACTTGTGATACAGCAGTGCTGCAAGGAGAATAGAATACAGAACAGATGCCTAATCCTTCATGTGGAGGTATATTAATCAAGTGCATTGGTTTTTTTCTTTCATAACTTGCAAGATATATAGCACAAGCAATATTTCTATTTACAGCTGGGAGAAGAAGCATCTGGTTTGCTCATCCACGAGCTAATGCACATTGATTTTTGTTCTTTTTTTTGTTCCATGTTCCATATATTCCCCTACAGTATTTATGTAGATATTTCTCCATGCTTTACTTAAAATTGTAATTGCATTATTAAATCTTATCGTAATACTATTTTTGAAATACATAAACCTAAAGTGTATGGTAGAATATAAGGATTTATCCTTTTTCTGTCACAAAGAAGAACAAATTGTTGACAGCAGCTAATTTTCTTATTGAGGAAAATCGAGGGTGTTATTGCAGAAGAAAGTTAAGCCCTGCTAACCATTTTTTTAGAGAATAAAAAGGCTAAAAAGGCATAAATATTTAAAGTTTGTATGTGTTAACAATCACAAAATGCCGTGTAGCAGTGAAGGAACTGGCAAGCAAAGGTTGGTTTTTGAGGACTGAGAAGACCCAAAATATCTAGGAAGATTTTTAGGCCAGTTGCCGTTTGGGGAAAAAGACTTTAGCTTCTAAAGTTTAGAAACTTTCTTTAATGAAATGAAAACTGTATATTCAGAAATTAAAGTGGCTTAAGGAGTATTGCTAACATGCATTTTGACACATACATGATTATATATTGAAGCAGATTTAAATTATACCTTTTGTGTAATTTAAATCCGTTTTAAATGGAGATGTGTTCTAAACCAAGTCCTTTAAATAGGATGAGAAGCAATTGTGCTGTAGTCATGAGTGGCTGAAGAAAAGGACTGCTTCTAGGGTTGTAGGTGTTGTCACGGTGGTGATAGAATTAATAATAAAGGTCAGTAAGCCATGCACATTAGCRAGCAAGCTACGTGTGAAGTCCTGATTCTGCTGTTTAACAGTAAGAATAGTAACATTTTAGAACATTCCTTTTTTTTTTTTGAGGACTGGTATAGATCCGAAATATGCCTTTATACAAGGGCATTAAATAAACATTAAATGAGAATAATAATTTTTCTAATATGAGGAAAAAAGGCACTGCACTTGCTTTGCGTGGTATTATTTCCTACATAAGCAGACATTGACTTTTCTGCTTTTTCAGTGTAGACATCTTTGGCGTGGTCTCTTTTTTTCTTGCATGTAGTAACATGTGATAAACACAGGTAATGATATAGATGGAATTGCTGGGAGAAGTTAAGAATGAAGAGTGAACTCTACAATGCATGACTGAAATGGTTACTATAATAGAACTATGGAAATAGAGTGGAGGAGATGTGGAGGAATGAAGTAGAATGGTACTTTAAGCACTCTTCCTAGGAACCACACATCTAGAGTSAGTTCTGTGATTTGTGAGTAAATTACTCGGTTTTGAGGCAATTTGTGTAGCAAAGTTGGCCTTTCCACCCTGGTTGCACAGGCTTTGAGTGTCTCCAAACAGACTCCACAACCTCCCTGGGCAGCCTGTTCCAGGGCTCTGTCACCCTCACAGTGAAGAAGTTCTTCATCACATGGAGATGGAACTGCCTGTTTCAATTTGTACCCWTTAACCCTTGTCCTGTTACTGGCTGAGAAGAGTTTGGCCCTCAAATTATCATTGGTTAGTCACCTGTTAATGCACCCCTTACTAGGGAGGATCTTCAGAATTAAAAGCAGATGCAGTACTGTGAGAGTTAATAAAATGGGAGCCCCTGTTTTTGTGTTGATCRTTTTGGAGGTTGCATGGGAAAGAGGAGGAGTACTGTGTGTAAGAAAAGATGATTAAAGATTAAGAGTTGCAGTGTGATGGAAATTAGAAGGGAAGGGAGGATGAGAAGTTGGGAGCAACTAGTCTAAAGCCTTTTTTTTAGGCCTCAAGAAATGTACTATGTGTTTTGCCATTGAGGAGAAGGCATATGCACCCCTTGTGTGTGTTAAGAGCTGAGAAGAAACAACCAATAGGAGTAATTGGCAGATAGTTGTCAGAAATGTATATGTCAGATGTATACCATCTTAATCTATTACTTAATATAATCTTATTTATTTCAGTAAAGTGAGAGATGTATATTGCCCTTTCATACAAAGCAAAGGACTATAATGAATTATCTTAGCAGAAGTCTCTTTCTTCAGCTCATGATCTGTACTTTGAAGTTAAATTGAAGTTAAATTGAAGAATAGGTCAAAAACATA